GAATAATTTATTCTCTTTTTAATCAGGATTTAAACCAAACCTTCGGATTATAATTCAATTTCCAGTATACACTATACGCTCTTAGAATTTCTTGTAAGATATTAAAGATAAGATACTTTATTGTTGTATACAACCAGTGGCATACTTAAAATTATTTGTCTTGATAAACAAAACATTACAGTAGTAAAAAGTTATCACATTTTCCAGAACAAATTCAACACACATCATACAATGCACAAACCTATATATCTATTGAATTATTAATACATAAGAAAGAACATACTTTTTTTTTTCTTAAGGTATTAACAATTAATAATATAACAGTCATTAAAAAGTAATGTACAAAGCTATTAAAATATCTGTTGTGTAATTGTCGTCACCAATTAGATAATTCTTGCAGTGTGTGGCATTCCGCCAAAACATCCAACTAAACATTGAACCCCAACAACATGATTTCACTTATTTTCTTAATTGTCGCGGCTCATTTGTATTTTTAATTTCTGACGCACCCTCCTGGGACCAAGGGTCAACCATGGTGGAACAAAAGTTGACAGTGAATTAACCGCATCTTGATAATTGCCTTGCACATAAACATTTTCCGGCCAGATGGTAATGATTCGATATTTTAGAGCGATGTAGATATTATTTTGATCTTCAATTTGTAGTTGGCATTAATTGCTGAAGGCATTTTAAATGGTTAATATAATTTGGGTTAATTTTAGTTCACATAATTTGAGAATGTTTGAACAACAGAAATTATATTGTGTATCAACTTTATAATATTGCTGTAATGTTTTGCTGTGCAATCTTATATAGTGTCATAGCAAAGAATAATACCCATAGAAGGGTATTAAGAATCTCCAATAATTTTTACCTTACAGATATGAGATGTTCAATTAACAAATATTAATTTCATTTTTTCCATGTACTATGAGCATGGAATTTATTATCAGTGAACATTAAACAAGCTACATCATTATCTGTTTTTAAACACTTTAAACAAAACATGAGCAATGGTGCAATTACCATTGCATCAACTGTCACGTTATGGGCTTCACATTTAATGAAGCAGTCAATTTTCGTGTACTAAAAATTCATTTGTTTGGTGTTTGGATCGTGTTGATGTGGTTGTTGAACTGTTGTCATTGGTTTTAATTGTTATGTGGTATTAATGTTGCACCAAGTGGTTTTGTTTGGTTTGATGTACTGTATACACACCCAGAGACGCACCCTTGGCACATATACCCCTGCGGTCCTTCACCAGTATTAATTCAGATGCGGATCCAGAATACAATATGAGAACCGCACAGTAATCAACAGTTTTTAGACAGTGTTTTTTTTTTCCGAGACATTCTTTAAAAGGCATTAAATGTCATTCTTGTAGACATTCACGCCAAGATAGCCTTAAGCCGGGGCACTCACCGCACTTGACGCTCGCCGGCCGAAGCGATTCTATGGAGAATACAACGCCACAACGCGTACCCAACAGATCGATATTTAATGAAGATTCCTTCACACTGCCAGCGACAATCAGTAGATGGCACTGCATTGTTTGGCGCTCACAGAGAGCAGAGTTAGTTGTCAGTCAACGGTCGTATGACCGTTATACAATGCAGTGGGTGCCCGGCCGTATATTCTTCGCATTATTGTGCAAACTCAGCTTCGTACGAGAGAATTCCATAGGGAATCTTTCCGTAATGTTAATTAAACTTAATAACCGACCAATCAAACAGGGCCAGTAATAATATGTGCATCATAAAATATGTGTGTTGTCCCCCAAAGGCATGTGGCTATGTACGTTTACACTACGATTTCATGGTACCCTAGCAACGGTATCCAAATGGCGGGGTTTAGCCTAAAGCTCCGTATTAATTTATTGTTCCGGCCTACTGTACCAGGTTAGAGAGATACAACTGTAGCCAATACACTTAAATGTTACCTTTAATTTCTTTAATTTTTAATTAGTTATCGAGGTTATATTTTATATGTAACGGTAACCTTTATTTCAATCTCAAAAATAATTTGGATTGGATAAAAAAACAGTGTGTAGGCCTGATCATGTAATAGAGAACAAGAACAAATATACTGTAGCCTGTGAAACATGGCCTTAGTGTGCATGCGAAGGTATGCTAAAATCATAGCTGAAATGATAGACCTATCTAACAGTAAACACTGATTTCTTCCGTTTGACATAAAATGAGGTTCGGAATGTGGCGTATAGACACATGTAAAGTCCTAGTACATCAATGCAATGTAACAGGTCTTACTGAACGATGCCAATTTCTGGGACCTAATCGTCTCTAAATGATGAAGTACACATGACGTGACTGTTAGTCATGCCTTGGTGGAAAGGAAAATGAAAGTAGAATGCCTGCGTTTAGCTTGTTCAGTAAATGAAATTAACAAGCTTTGGATTTCGTGCCACCACTAGGGTACAGTGAATGTCCTAACTAGTTGTTTCTGATATGGTTTTCTATCAGCTGATTTACATAGATTTATAATGTTATGGACATTTTCAATACACATTTTAAGTGCCTTTTATTATTCATTAATTTATTCATTTCATTTTCCTCTCTGAACAATAATAATAATAATAATAATAATAATAATAATATATAGCCCCCAATCCACCGCAAAGAAAGAGTACGCTCACTGTGTTTAATTCAGATTATAAAAAGAAGGCTTTGAAAGACATTTAAAAAAGCCAAAAAAACATGAGTTCACAAAAATTTGCAACTATATCATTGCTCTTTCTATGTGGCCATACGTAGATGCTCCACATATTGTAAGGGCATTATGCTGGGCTCCAATAGTATCATCTTTTTATCATTAATTATGGTAATTCATCATTCATTCATTCATTCATTGAATCTTTCATTCATTCAATCTTTCATTCATTCATCATTCATTTATTTATAAGGTAATGAACACATAATAATGCATTTCATTATTGATTACCTTTTCATCTCTTATAATTCATCCTTTTATCATTAATTAAATCATTTATGCCTTCATTTATTCATTCATATGCATTCATTCATTCATTTCATTTTGTTTTCTTTTTATTCATCTATCATAAAATATATAAAGGTAAATGTAACCCATAATTCGCCGTGTCATTGTGCTGAATTGCGTATGGGCGTGGTCCATGACTACCTACCGCTGTAAATAGGTGCTTTCTACATGTTCACCCCATCATTCATTCATTTAAATTTTTCTTTTCATTCAGTCATTTATGTAATCAAACTTGTGCATAATGTTTTATGCAACCATATATATCAAACATTAGCCAAGCTTTTCAAAACTTTGAAATTAACGGTGTGTACATTTACAATAGCCAGGCTGAACATAATTCAATTCAAGCTCTAGCTATTGAAACCGTAGATTAATCAGGCAAATAAATGATGATAGTATACTGTATAACTTTATTTCAACTCGAAAATAAAAGCACAGAAAGTAGTACAAATAAATTTGTTCGATTAAATAATCATCCTTCCACAGGATCGAGATATAAAATTCATAAAAAATTTAAAATATCAATACATTAAAGTTAAAGAAATTCACAAAAACATTCAAAGTTTACTACATGAAGTTGAAAATTATTATTATTATTATTATTATTATTATTATTATTAATATTATTATTATATTTTATCAATTAATTTTTTATTTTTTATCATTATAATGTTATTTTGGAAAGTGTGATAATGGATATTTTTCAATTTCATTTTTTTCAAAATTTTTGTGCATTCCAAAAGGTTGCACCTTAATATGAAACCTGGCTACATTTTTTTAAACTTGTGTTTAGGAATAAATTAATTGGTTGCACCATGCCGGATATTGTAATTTAAAAAAAGTATTATTATAAGTACAGTATTTGAAATAATTTACTTCGGTGAGGAATTATGATACAACATCTTAAAGAAATGTTACAGATAATTTAGATAAATATGCATTATGATCTCACGAAAATAGAAAGTACTCTTAAAAGAACTTTTTTTTAAATGTCAGCTAGAGCCAAAAGTGACTAATGGCAAATGATTGATTGATTGATTGATAGATGGCCTCGTAATGCATACAGTACTTGACATATAACTAACTTGTATGTTGTGAATGTTATCAGTATTATTGCATGCTGATACCCACAACTAGTAGATATAGTTTGTGAGAATCTTGTACACTAGACTCTAGGCCTATACTAATTGGGGATTTGAGTATCCCTACCCTTTCCGAGCCTCATGTCACCTCCTAGGATACCATTTACTTGATTGCAGAGATGAACATTGCTCAGTTTTTGTCTTCAAATTATCATCAGGTTCGGTCTAATTTTGATGGTTTTTATATTGTAGGTTTTTTTTTATTATTTTCTTTAATCAAACATACTGTACAATGAATAAAAAAAAACGAAAAAAAAAATCATTGTATTTTCTTTAATCAAACATACAATGATTTTTTTTCTTTTTTTTTATTCAACACAACAATTCATGTCATTTAATTTCTTACTTCGTATGAATTTGGTTCTCTTTCAAACCTTTCAAAGTATCAATTCAAAGAAACTAAATATTCAGTTTTCATATTTTTCTACAGCATACTCGCATTATTATTTAATATCTTTTTTCTCTAAGACAGTAATTACCAGTAATATTATTATTACAATATTATTATTTATTTTTGTTATTTTCCTATTAAAAACAGATATTTAAATTCAGTATAGTACCAAAATAATTTCTACTTGTTATGATTAATCCTGTACTTATCCTGACCTATTCATATTACATGGACAGATCTGCAAAACTTTCACTGCCCTAGAACCAACTATCTGGTATAAATAAGTTTTCTCCATACTACACTTAAGAGGTCGTCTATTTTTTTTTTTTTAAAGCTGTGCTCAGGCATTGACCTTGTTGTTGGTGTCATTTGGGTGGGGTCCCTCCCTAACCACACTCAGCATCCTGATGTAATAGCTTCTATTCAACCTTTTTTTTTTTCCTTCTTTTCAGTATTTTGATTGTGAGCTGAATCTCTGGAGAATTTGAAAAGGAACCGTCAGTTGTTCGGCTCTTCAAGAACCGAGTTTGGTGAGTAAGCAGCCAATCACAATTGATTTAGCTTAATGGTGAGTGAAGTATTGCACATAGTTTCTGTCATGTCCCTCGAGTTTCCCCCAGCCGACCAAGATTTGATCGTTACGTCTGTAGGAAAAAAAAAATTAAATTCAACGATGTCACGTAAGCTTCCACAGTCTATATTCGCTATATTTTCATCTTAAAATCTCGGTCATTTCTTAAATACTTCTGATTTGTCTTTAATTTTAAATTTATGTTTGATATATGTGTCGGTATTCTATGATTTTCAATAAGTTTATTAAAAATGTTTTGACAAATGAAAGATATTTTCATCGTATTTTATTTGTTGCAGAATTTGATTAACCATGAAAGAACATCTACTTCTATTTGATTTCCGTTAGCGAAATATAATAATATTAAGAATAATAATAATAATGAAAACTTTATTTATTCATTCATTTTTTATTTAGCCTTTTATAAAAATCACAATACAATTAATTTATTTAATATTAGAACACAAAAAATATTTATTAAAAATGTTTACAGGCACTGTACAACATTTAAAAACTAGAAATTTACCAAAAAAATTGGTAGTCAATATATCCATTAAAGGTGAAATAGAAATCAGGTCATTCAAAAGTATTACAATTCAACTTAACACGTTAAAAACCTACAGTGAATAAATGATAACATACAAAGATTTAAATTAGATATGACATGAAAGAGAACAATAAAAAACTAACGAATATTTTCAGATTTTTTTTAAAGCAAAACACAAGACAAGATCACCGAACTGTAATAAAATTTACATCAAAAAGTTAAAGTAAGATGGCATGCTGATAAAAACTACTGTACGTCATGTATCTTGGAGTAAAATCATGTAAAATATATTAATTATTATTATTATTATTTTATAAGATTAACAATAAAACATATCTATATTATTATTTATTTCAACAAACCAGTCTGTTGTCTTTCAGACAAACATATTGTTTTTATTCTATACATAGAGAAATTTGTCTTAATTGTATTAGTTGGAGAAGTTTTTTTTTTAAGATGGTGGGTAGGCCTAATTATTGAACTTCCATCCCCTCTTTTCGAGGTCAATGTAAATTGATGGCATGGGTGCCAATAACCTCTCTCTGTATGTGAAAAATATCCGAACATGCAATCAAAGGACACTGTAATTGTCTCCTACACCAGTATGTACTAATAGTGATGTTGAGGTACAGTATACTAAATAATAATAATAATAATAATAATAATAATAATAATAATAATAAATAAATAAAAGCACACATACTGTATCCACTCCAGTAGTGCTTAATGCACTACAGAAGAAAGGAACCAAAAATTATTCTTGATATAGCAACCATTCTTTTACAGTTATTGTTATTAATATGTATTTTTTTGTTTTTAATATGTAATTATATAGAACTACACTTTTTGAGGTGTATAGATAGAATACATTGATTGATAGATTATTTTTGATGTAGTTTTATCATTTTTAATTTGTAATGCATCCAATAGAAGTTTTTATGAATTTGATGTGTGTTTCATGTGGCAATATATAATATGAGTAATTATTTAATTCAATTCAATTCAATGCAAATGACATTTATTCAATCAATGATGGAAATAATAATAGAATACAATACAATACAAATAGTAAATCACCGGTGCGTTTCTATAAAGAACTTAAAACGACGATCGGCACACAGCAGATTGTTTTAATGAAGATTCATTCAGACTGGCACCGACTATCGACAGTGTTGGAGCAGAATTGGGTTCGTTGTACGATGCAGTGTGTGCCCGGCTTAAGATTTAGTGCTGAAGTTCGTTGTAACCATCACTCACCCAAGGCATTGATTTAGATTAAGATACATGGTATTATTACAATATATCTTTTCATTTCAGATCTGGTTGGTGTTAATACATAACTTATAATCAAAATACTACAGTAGGTATATTTCATTTTTATATTATAATATATCGAGAAGTTATATATTTAATACAACACAATATAATGTTTCTTAATTGTGTAATTATAATTATTTTTTCCTGTGAATGATATACAGTAATTATAATAATTAATGCTTTCTTTATTTTTTCAGGTAGTTTAACTTAAGCTTATTAAAACAATGTATATACTGTATTATTCCACATCCTTTTTTTATACAACCCACCAAAAAATAATAATTATGTTGTGTTTGAGATAGCTAGTATTTCATATTTTTTTTAACTTGCAATTTTTTGTAAAAAATTTTTAGAGTAGCCTATATTTTCTTTATTTTTCTACTAAAGTGTATTTTAAAGATATCTCAAATATACCATATCATTGTGACAATTTAAGATTTTTGTATTGTATCGTGAATTTTAATTCACATTTGCGTTATTTTTTATGTTTGTCGAGATTTATGTTTGATTTGTAGTTTATCAGAATGAAATATCCGTGTTTTAAAGTTATGTGTTTTGAAAAAAACACCTAAAATATATAAAACTTTATTCAGCTTATGTTTAAGACTTTTTTTTTTTTTTGATGTAAAGTGAAACAAAGCAATGACACTTAATAGGCAGCTGTCAAAATGTGTATTGTGCATATTTAAATTGAAAAAAATTATCAATTTGCTTTACTTTCAGTTGGAAGCAGAATACCAACCTCGTTTCAAGAACTGTGAAGACATCAACTTTATTTGGTAAGTTTTTATCTCATTATTTTCGTACTTTTAAATTTCTACTACAGGCTGTAAGTATTTACTGATGTATTTGTAAACATTTTAAATGTGGATTCACCCAAAACAAGGCTAAAAAGCCACCTAAGTAAAAGAGTGACATACATTAAAACCAGTGTAAGACCTTCACCAGCTGTCAAAACACATTTCTTTAAGTTAGTGTCAATGTATATGTGTCATATCTATGATCTTTTACTACACATTTTCCATCATTTTAACTGACCTTTAAGCTGATTAACAAGGTCATATCATGACATATTTCCCGTTTTTTACTTCCCACCCATTCCCACTCTATTGGGTTATTTTTTTAATATAAAATATAGGTGTAGTGCCACTGTCAGTAATATGATGTCATCACCAAATTGCTGTACAATTGCATAGTCATTGATATTTGAAATATATTAGGCTTTTGATTATATTTCTTGCAGTCTCATGTGGTAGAGTAAACTAGCATAGAGCAGCTGTTGTGCATTTTTATTTGTTTTGTATGGTTTAAATTTTTTTTTTTTTAACATTGCTTTATGCATTTTCTATTGGAAGTGGATTATATCATAATTATATAAACATTCTCTTACAGTGTATTTGTACAATAACATGCATAGTTTTATTTTTTGTCAATCACCAGCCATCATAAAGAGGGTGAGTGATGGTGGAAAGAATGTGTATATTATTTAGAGTGGGTAGGGACACAAATCAGGAATTTAACAACGGGCTTCATAAGTTGTCTACCTTTTACTATGGTTTGTCGTAAAATTAAGGAGAAAATAGCAATTGTCGTCTTCTTGTTGATTTTTGTTTCATGAGTCTAGGGAGATTATTTAGAGTGGGTAGGGACGCAAACCAGGAATTTAACAAAGGGTTTCTTAAGTTGTCTACCCTTTACTATGATTTGTCGTAAAACTAAGGAGAAAATAGCAATTGTCGTCGTCTTGTTGATTTTTGTTTCATGAGTCTAGGTAGATTATTTAGAGTGGGTAGGGACGAAAACCAGGAATTTAACAAAGGGCTTCATAAGTTGTCTTCCCTTTTCTATGATTTGTCGTAAAATTAAGGAGAAAATAGCACTTGTCTTCTTGTTGAATTTTGTTTCATGAGTCTAGGTAGATTATTTAGAATGGGTAGGGACACAAATCAGGAATTTAACAAAGGGCTTCACAAATTGTCTTCCCTTTTCTATGATTTGTTGTAAAATTAAGGAGAAAATAGCACTTGTTGTCTTGTTGATTTTTGTTTCATGAGTTTAGGTAGATGATATCAGTTTAACCCTTGAGTGCATATAAAAAATAGCCTTCCATGTTGGTACCGCCATCAATTTTTTGGCTTTGTTTTCATGGTGAACTCTGTAAGGAAGCTTTTATTGCAGCAAACTACTGTATTGTGGCATTTTCCTTGTGAAAAAAACTTGTCTTTGCTCAGTCATTCTATCTTTCATAAACATTAGCATTTCTGCCAATTCCTGTCATCATTTTGATATCATACTTAAAAAAAAAAAAATCACTGGGTGTTGCCAGCATGATTAAAACGACTGTGCCATATTGGTGATGTCATCCTTGGTTTGAAGGTTCACCTTACGTGCAGCGCCGTGATAAGAATCTTGACTTCATATGTGCCATCCAGTTACTTCAACATTTTGCAAGGTTCTTTACTCTTAGTATTGTCTCTAGGTTGATTCTCCCGGGAACCGCGCTTGGCAAGGCTTTCGATGTTTGCTTCTGCCTGTAGCTTACGGTGTTTGACGTGCACTGCCAGCTGGCTACGAATAACGTTACTTGCACAAACATGTATTTAGTGATTTCAAGAACATGGATATATTTCTCAGGATCGTATTTTAGGAGAAAAGCAATGGAGAATAATTTATATCTTCAAGCAACTTTATATTAACTTTTGAAAACTATGTGTTATAATATCATCTGAACAAATTCATTTGTATTGTGTTATTTTATGTTTATTTTTGAAACAGTAGAATTAGATATAGTATAACATTTGGATTTGGAAAAAAACCCAAATAAATAACATTCTAAAGTTAATCACATGGTACTAACTTTGAGGGAATCATCTACCAGTAATAATTATCAGTTATATAAATTAATGTTATCATCTGAAAGTAAACTAAATGATTAACAAATTAATTTGTATTGTATGCTAATTTATCTTTATGAAACTATAGAATTCGATATTGTATAACATTTGGAAGAAAACAAAAACATTCTTTAAAGTTATCACATGATATTAACTTTGAGAGAAATACCTAATCTATTAATAATTATCAGTTATAATATTTCCATCTCTAAGTAAACTATTATGAGTAACTAATTAATTTAATTTGAATTATATGTTATTTTTGTTTATGAAAATATAGAATTAGATATAGTATAAAAAAAAAATTGGAGGAAAACTAATGGAAACAATAAGTTATTATTAACATTGAGAGGACCATCTCCACTGTTAATAATTATCATCATTCTAAAAGTTAATTATAAATTAATTTGTCATACATCAAATCTTTAATAGATTAAAATGATATCCAAAAAAAATAAAAAGTTTTAGTATAAGTTTTACACTATTGACAACAGTGTGTCTTGATTAATTATACCAAGTATACCTTTTCTATCACATAGCATTTTTTAAAGTACACCAAATGGTGTCATTTAGATTATTGGCATGGTTATTAACCTTTGTGAATATCGCACATAGCATAATTGATTCATTAATTAACCACCTTGATCTGTTAGTAATTAATTTAGGTACAAAAATAATTTTGCAAAACATCCTGTTTAAAAAAATGTTAAAAATGTATGATGGGACAAGGTCAACTCATAGAAAAAATTGTTTTATTAAATTTGGCAAAAAATGGGACAAACAAGACCATATCGAGCATCTGTTGTTGAGGCTAGAAGAAACAAAAGTGAAAAGTAAACTTGAGTAAACATTGCTGTGTTCTTGCATGTTAGTCCGTCAATTTAAACACAACACGTCTAGACAAGAATACAATTAATACACTAAAATACTTAATATATCATGTTACATTTATTCATAAAAAAGCATAAACAATTACAATATAATTTCATTGCAGTTAAGAAACTGTTTAAAAAAAATTGTTTAGAGTACATATAGCATGTATTTAAAATCAATTAAGAGTTGCAGCATAAAAAGTACTTAATAACAACAATAACAATAATATATTGTCATTCTAAATTATCATTACTGTATTTTCATTATCATTTTCATCATTATTATTGTCATTAGTTATTTTCAACTAGATGTCTCATGTCCTAGCCTGGCTGGTCATTAAATGTTGATTGATATAAATAATTAGATTAGAACAATTAATCCACTAACATACTGTAGATAGTTGTTCCTCATAAGTCAAGCTACTGTGCAACCGTAGTGCAACATACAGTAGTCATGCGACTATGGTACCAAACCACACCCTTGCAGTGAAGCAACCATGATCTAGTAACTGCACTAAACCCAGCATACTTAGGCTGAACCATCCCATGAACATGCAAGGCATGGACAGGTTAGGCTGGGTGTACACACAAAAGCCGATCCTAGCCTGACTAACCAGGGAGACGTAAAAAAAAAAAATATTTTTTTTACATCTCCCTGGACTAACCTTATGCTCACTAACAGCCTTCAAACTATCCTCTTCCCACAATAATATAGAAGTGATAAAATTTGAGTACAATCAAGACACGTGGTAATAGATCAGCATAATTTTAAACCTAAATCTTGTTCCTAAAGCATAATTTGATAGCCCATGTATGATGCACGCTTCCGTTACATGTGTAACCTTAACAAGCAACCGGAAAGTCCGCCAGCCAAAAATTACGGCAATAAATTCATTTTCTTCTGTTGTCACGTTCACAAGAGAAGCACTTAACCGATTGAGGAAACAATTTCTCACTTAAACCAATCAGATTGTATACATGTTGTATAACTTGTTACGTTACCCATCGTTGTTGTGTCCATGTTGACTGTAACTTGTGTGTCAATCCCGCAGGTGATAAAACCGCTGTTAAAGGTCATGACCTCCGTGCATCGCAGAGATGGTACGAATTTTCCATCATCTTTGTACTGGCAAGGTTGTAGAACTGAGCGTGCCCAAAACATGGCTATTTGCCATAGGCTCCGTTCCTAATAAACAACAATTGAGCAGATATATTAACAAAATGAACTGTTTCCCATCAATTCAGAAAAACTATTTTTAGAAATTTGTGAATAATGGTTTATTTTGTGCCCCCAGGGCATCTCAGTATTGATTATTAGCTAAACTATGAACTTTAGCCATCCAATACTGACCTAATGTTATATTGAACATTTGCATGGCTTGGCAGTAAGGGCTTTGAACTTCCGATCAAATCGAGGGTTCAAGTCTAAAGGCTGCTATTTTTGGTTGTGTTTAGTGGACACGGTTAACTTTTATAATATTTATTTTTTAGTGAGTAGTGTGTTTAAGTGTCTACTTGGTAAGTAACAAATTACTCTGCTTATAGTCATAAACCAAATAAAAGAAGCCAAATCAAATCAAATTTCATTTTCAACATGGATTATATACACAATTCAATCAAGTAAATGAAATGAACAAAACAAAGCCAGCAAGGGTTGCTGAACAGGCATAAGCCCATCAACTCCCCTAACGGTGTTAATGATACTTAAAGAAGGTAAGCATAATACAGTACAAAACAAATTACACAGAAACTTATAGACCTAGATGAAGAAGCACATGGGTGCAAACCAGACAAAATTTGCAGAATTCTGGTAAATTTTATTCCAACAAATGTCATACCAGTATGCTTATTTAGATATTTTGGCATCCTTTTGGTGGTCAAAACAAAGTCCCTTAATTTTTTTGATTATTAGCTTGCTACTGAAGTTTAAATTTCTTTGTGGTTTAACATTAAAAGAATATGAATTCTTTTTCATTTGTTAGTCGTAAAAATTCCGACCAATATTAAAAAATG